ACGGACCCTCTGTGTGACCTTGGGGACCATCCCTCTCTTCTCCGCACCCCCCCCCTTTGTCCTCTGTGCCCTTGGAGGGAGGAAATGCAGGGGGATACACTGTCCTTCATGCACATCAGCACGGCCCCATGCCCCCTCTTCTCCAGGCCAAGTCAGCACCAGCCTAGATGCCCACGGCAGCATGAACAGCTTACATTTTCCTCATTATTGAGCCCTCAGCTCAGAGCCTGAGCAGCCAAGGAGCAAGGAGGGAGGGACAGGGGCGGGGGTGGGGGCATTCCCTGCCAGGCTGCCCAGGTGTGTCCTCCAACCCCCATGCCTGGCCCAATATCCTGCAATAATCTCTAAGTCAGGAGGCCTGACCGTGCTCATCAGCAGAGGGAGCAAAGCTATGGACCCCAATTCTCTGCCAAGTTTTCCCTTCCCCATTTCAAAAGGAGGAAGAAATCAGTGATTTTCCCCTCGTGCAATTTCCCAATCTTCACTGTCTCGGATGTTTACGAGAACATGTGTACCGGCCAGAGCCGGACAGAACTGGACAGGGATGACTCAGTGTGAACACGCCCTAAAGAACATGGGCAGGGAGCGGGTAACTTGGAAGAGGGGCCCTGGGGCTACTAGTGGTCAGCAGCAGTGACCTGGGCGCCTCGAGGTTGTCCTCCAGCTGTAGTCTATCTATTGGCCCTCACTCAGGGCAAATAGAGCCCTTCCCCAGCCCCCAGCCCTATTCTGCAGACTCCATACATATGTATTAAGCACCTACTATGTGCCAGGCAGCATTCTCCCACCCCTTCTCCCCCAGACCATGGAGACCCCGCTCCAGCCAGGTGCCGGGACTTTTCACCAATGAATAATGGACTTTTAAGCACCAAGGAGAAATCAACTCTGCCATCACCTAGACTCAAGTCCTGGCTCAGCTCATTCATCAGCACGTGACCTTGACCTTGGACTGATCACTTCATTCTGAGCCTCCATTTCCTCATCTATACGGTGGGGGAAAATAATTCCCCTTTGCAAGGATACTGTAAGGGTCAGAGTTTGGGAGGCCACCGCACCACACACATAGTAGATGCTCAATTCATACAGACTCCAAACCTGATGATGGTCACATGTTCTGCCTCCCAGAATGGAGCCCTGGCTCCGCCAGGGTGCAGGGGAAGGTTTCCCAGAGTAATTTCCCCAAGTGCTCACCCTCCCTCTTCCCCTTAACATTCAAAGGAAACTCCCCTGGGGTCCCAATTCCCCTGCAGTTCTCTCTCCCAAGGGCTGTTACAACTTCCCAACAACCACCTGGCTCAGCCCTTCCACTCTGCCTCCCAGCGCCTGCAGAATCACTTCTACCTGTGAACCTGTCTCTACCTTCTCACCCCTTTCTTCCTCAGACACCTGGCGAAGCCCAGGGGAGTGGGACCATCTCCACCCCAGACTCACCAACACTCTCGTCTTTGACACCCCAATCACAAACGCTCTCTCCTCTGTGTGGCCCTGAATTTCTCCACCCTCCAACACTTTTGAGTGACACATGCCAAATCCACAGGCCCTGGTTGCACACCTGGCCCACACCGGGGTCCCTCCCACCTCTTTGGGGTCGTTTCCAGCACTAAGGCAAGCACGTATGCTCTTAAACCTCGCTCCCCACAAGGGCAGGGCCAGCGGCCAGCAGTGCCCAGAGTCTGCGCTCACCAAAGATTTATTTAACAAACTGGTGAATGAGCTTAGCCCTGCAAGCTGGAAAGACGCTCTTATTCACCCCATTTTACAGAGGAGGTGAGGCCCACACTCTGAGTCAAATGCCAGGCAATGGGTGCCAGGGCCCCTGCTCACCTCATCACAGCCCTTGGCCTGTGACCTCACCCCCAGCCGTGGCTTGACTCCAGACCTGACTCCTCCCATCCCCTCCAGCCCCACTGGGTTCCCCAGAAGTGCCTGACTCACAGTGCAGGTGCTCTGTGCAGATCTGCTGCCTGAGTGAGTTACTGAATGAAGGAATCAATGAATTCATCTTTTCAGACTTTTTTTGGAGGCTTCTGGAATTCAACCTCCAGTTCCCCCCTCACAGACAGACCTGCAGAAACTCAAGGATAGACATATGCTGGTCCTGCAGGCTCTCTGGAGGAGGAGAGAGTAGAAGATGGAGGTTGGGGGTTGGGGGTTGGGCACAGGTGTCAAGGTGACTGCGGGACACAGCTGAGTTTCAGAGGAGGTTTGAATCTGGGAGGGCTGGATGGACAGACTTATGCCACCAGGTCCTAGGGAGCCATGGAAGGCTGTCAGAGTGTGGTCTGGTCAGTGCTGGGCTTTGGAAAGGCAAGGTGGGTGGAAGCCACGGGGCACCCTACTTTCCCTGGGCCTGGCGGATGCTGGTCAGAGTTCTGCAGGCTGTGGGACTGAGTGGGATCCAGTGGTGTCCCCAGCCTAAGCCACAGCAGAGCAGTGTGGCTAAGTGGTGGGCACTGGGACTCTGCCCAGATGGCCTGGGTGTGCGGCCTGACTTAACTGGGTGTGCGGCCTGACTTAACTATTAAACTGCCCTTAACAGCTGTGTGATCCTGGGTCAGAGACTTAACTACTCTGTGCCTGGGTTTCTTCACCCGTGACACAGATAACAATAGCAACCACTTCCTAGGGCACTGTGAGATTTAACTGAGATAGCACAAAAAGCCTCATTAATCAAGAGCTCTTACTGTCTTTCTAACCAAAGAGTGACTTCCTGGCAGCAGGGACAGAGCCTCTCACGTCTTTCGTCAGAGCCCAGCTCAACGGACCCAGAGCGGCCCTCGGGAAGCTTCTAGTGATTACACCAGGCCCAGCGGCCCTGGGCCCACCTGGAGAGGACCCCAGAGTCCACAGGGGCGCTTTGGCCTGAGATGAGGCACCCTCCTCCACACCTGCCAAAGCTGTGGGTATTTCCTGAGTGAAGTGTCATCGCGGTGAAAAACAACGTGCCCGCGGCTGACTGTTCTCGCATGATCTGCCCGCAGCTCTCTGCGGCTTCCTGACCAGGCTACCCAGTTCTCTGCAGCCTGGGGGAGGAGGGGAAGGGTAAGAGGGCTGAGGGGCATCCTGCTCTGGAGGTGCCAGTCCCTGCCCCCCTTCTCCAGAGAGGCCTCTTGCAGTTTCCCCATCTTGAAAACTAGGGCTTGAAATGGATTGTCTGGAAAGCCTCAAATGTCTCGCATCAGACAGATGTGGGCTTGAATGCTGGGCCTGCCGCATTCTGGCTGCCCGGGTCCCTGAATGCACCTGTCGGCCCCTTGGGTCAGAGCCCCCTCTCTGGAGATAGACAGACTGGGGTTCAGACTCCAGCTATGTGGCCTTGGACAGGTATTTAGCTTTCTTCAGCCACACACTGGGAACAAACACAGGCAATATGGGAAGGTGAGCTGAGGCACCAGGTGAAGCTTTAAGCGCGGCCGTGCCTGGCACACAGTAAGAGCTCAGAATTCCTTGACACTCCTCCTGCCTTGGGGTGGGGTCTACATCCCCCCACCCTTGGGTGACATCTTCATCAGTAGATGTGATGAAAGTGTACTGAAGCCATTTCTGAGTCCAGTTTTTAAGAACCCAGCAGGTACCACTTCCCAGCCCGACCGCCATATTGGGAGGAAGGTCAGGTGCTCCATGGAAATGAATAAAGAGCCAGCACTGAACGGCCAGCCCCTCAATACACTCTCCGGTGCCAGTGGGCAGGCACCGTGCCAGGCCCCTGCGAGCAGAGAAGAGCCGTGCCCGACATGGCCAGGCCAGCAGCTTTGTGAGCAGAAGAAATGACTGGTGTTTGAAGACAGTACATGTTGCTTGTTTTTTGTTTTTTTTAATCAAGGTACCAGCACTGAGCGCACGCTACAGTTCCAAAAATGGCGTCTTCTCCCCACGCCCAGCACCAAGTGTCCAGCCCCCACCCTCACCCCCAGCCAGCCCCCCCTCCCCATTCCCGCCCCAACCTTCCTTTTGGCAACCACTATTCCATTGTCAGAGCCTAAAGGTTTGCTTTTGTTTCATTTTCATTCCACAAATGCATGAAATCATAGTGTTTGTCTTTCCCTTTTAGACTTATTTAACTGAGCAGGTCCACCCGGGTGGGGCAAGTAACAAGTTTTCCTTTTTGAAGACGAAGCAGTACTCCATAGTGTTTATAGACCACATCTTTTCGATCGATTTCTCCATCATGGGGCACCGGGGCTGTATCCGCAGTTTGACTAGAATGAAGACACTGAGTTTTGAAGTGGCTCATTGACCCACCTGAGCGGTCCAGGTGGGCCACCAGACATTCGACACTTTTGAAAAATGAGATAAACAAGCTCATCTGTAATTATGGCCCTGCCAGGAGAAGTGGTGAGGTGCAAAAGGTGCTTTGGGTTTCAGTGGTTTCCTTACAAGGTCTCTGTCCCCTCGGCTGGACCCAGCTATAATTCACAGAGCCCAGTGAAAAGTGAACATGTTGACCCCTGTTCAAAAATTATTAATAGTTTTTAAGACAGCGATGCCAGCGCATTAAGCCAAGTGTGGCCGCGTGCCCGTGAGTGTGTAGAAGGCCTGGCCCTCCAATCTTCCACTCCGATCGCACAGCCACTTGGCTCTTGCAAAGCAACCAATCACAGCTCCCCTTAATTTGCCAGGATTTTAGGGAAACCATTTTACATCTATGAGACTCAGTTTTCCCACCCGTGAGAAGGGAAGTCTTGTTCTTGACCTGCCTTGCCCTGGGAGGTGCAGAGAGTGGGCTGCAAGGAGTTACTGAGAATGACAAAGGTGATTCTTTTTTTTTTTTTTTTAAATATTTTGTTCTTTTTTTTTTTTTATTTTTTATAGAGGCATGTTTTATTTATTTATTTATTTGTTTGTTTGTTTTGTTTATACATGCACTGGGTACAGTCAGAAGCACGGGAGGGTGAGAGAATTCACCAGAGCCAGAGCGGGGAGCAGAGCAGGCAGAAGGACCGAAGTACACTGCTGAGGGGAGCAGCGGGCGGCAGGAGAGGTCTGCGCGCCATGTGGGACCCTCCTCCGGTGGCCGGGGAGCAGCCGGGGATAGAACCCACGCCTCAGAGGCCGCGGACAGCTTCGCAACCCAGCGCTCAACCGCTGCGCCACCGGGGAGGCCCGACAAAGGTGATTCTATTGCCAGGCACTTCCCTGGCTTCTCTCGTCTGCCCGGCCTCCCAGCCCCGAGCCTCCCCTGACCTCAGCGTCAGACCACTGTCCAGGAAACTGCTTCCAGGTCCGAGGCCCTGGCTGGGTTGGCTCTGGACCAAGTTAGGTAGCCACACCCCACCTGCCGCTGAACCCTGAGAGGTTACCCCACTTATTGCAAATGCCAGTGCCGTCCATGAAAGAAGGGATGCAATTGACCCCCTTCCTCCCTCCTAGCTACGGTGGCTGGAGGCAAAAGGAAACTTCAGAGGGGCACAGAGCCAGAAGATAACTGTGATGCAAACACAGCCATGGCGCAGGGGCAGCCTGCCAAGGTGGGGGCAGCGGGTGGTCCCCTTAGGGGAAGAGGGAGGATCTGGAACTCCAGCTCTGGCACGTCCTGGCTGTGTGACGGCCACTGGGTCTCATCACCTCTTGGAGCCTGGATTTGGAAGGGGAAGTGCTGATACTCAGCCTAACCCCCTTCCAGTTATTATGATGCAGCCCAAATGCATAAGGAATGTGGGGAGACTGGGGCAAACTCCTTTACATCACTCACCCACAGAGACTCTGCCTAGCACCAGACCAAACACTTTACCCACACCACCACCCCCGAGCCTCGCAAGCACCTTGCAAGGCAAATATTATGTCTGTTTCATAGATCAGGAAATCTTGAAAGCTCTTAGGACCACGCAGGAGACCATGTGCCCGGCAACCACCTGAGCAGGAGAGGGAAGCCAGGTTGGCCAGCAGCGAGTCTCCAAGGCTCACATTCCTTCCCCAACAGCGAGCAGGAGATGAAAGTTCATGAGATGGCCCGAGGCCAGGGGCAGAGGTCAACGTGGCAAGTGGGGGTCCTGCTCCTAAGACAACCCACGCCCCACACAGAACACAAAGGCCCCCACAGCCTCCCCAGGACTTTTGGTTGGGCTTTTACTGTCTTGGGAGACACCCCAAGAAAGGGGAAGCTAGGCAGACAGGCTCCTAGCCTACCGTGGTGACATCAGCGTGGACGGGAGCTGAGAGGCTAACCGGGAATGCCTTCGCCAGCCTTTCTGAGAAACGCATCCGCTGCTTCCTGACCCCGGCTAGCGCTGCCTCCTTCCCGGCGTCTTTGCTGCCCCTGGTTTGGCTTCGCTGGGATAATACCAGGATGTTTATTGTTCTAATAGCAGAGAAGAAAGATCAACTCACACTGCTGTTCTTAAGATAAAAATCAAAGTGCCTCGCGGTGCCCCCTGGGCCTCCCTGGTCTGGCCTGCTGCCATCTCCTCCTCTCTGCCCTGCAGGCACATGGGTTGAGCTTCTAAAATCTCAAGGCCAGATGCTTTCCCACCTCTGGACCTTTGATTTGGGGGATCCCCTGCCATCCCAGGATGCTCTGCCCTCAGGTCCCCACTTCATCCATTTGTCATGTCACCTCCTCAGAGAAGCCTCCCCGGACCACCCAGCTAGAAACCACCTTCTGCTGCAGCAGAGGGTCAGGGCTGCCCCTCTCATCTGCTGGACACAGGACCAGAGGGCATCTGAGAACAGGCACATGCCGCAGCCATTGCCGGGCCTGCTCGTCACAGGGGCTTGGGGAGGAATGTGAGGAGGAAGGGCCTGAGAGGCACCCACAGGCTGGTGGGCTCCGAGACCCTGAGTGGGATTGTTAGGCGGAAAAGGCTGTCCTAAAGCTCATTCCATACAGGCTTTGTGGACTCCACCCCCACTCCAGACCAAAGCCAAAGACACTGGGAATTCCAAATCCCATCACCACCAAAGGGAAGGTGGCTGGGACCTGAGGGTGGGGTTAAGCAGCCAGACACGTGGGCTTTGGGGGGGTCCCCCATTTTGGCTCTCCGCCAGCTCGCAGCATCCGGCCAGCTCTGAAAGTGCCTTTGGGTTTCCAGGTTGGCGGATTGGGTAGGACGCATTAAAGACTTTATTTCCCTATTTTCTCCCTGCATTGTACATTTCCTTAATTCCCTTTCCCTTGTAAATAAACCTTTTATAACCTTGTGTGTGTGCCTGTAGTGGAGTATTCATAAGTCCCTTCTAAGCGCGCAGGTGAGGACCCACAGCCAGGCAACCCGTTTTATATGGGGGTTGCTCCATAACAGGATGCGCCTGCCAAGGACCCTGGGGTGTCACAAGTGCTAAGCTACAGATATATGAAGAACAAAAGGTGAATCCTTTGACCAGGACTTGAGGGGCTCTCCAGGACACCCCACAGATTCAGAAGGGGCCTGCCAACTGTGGGGGCTCCCATCACTTGGCCCCAAGGCTGCCAGGTCCCTGGAGAGCATGAGCCTAGGTGGAGGCTGGGTGGGCCGGAGGGGGCCACCACCAACTATTTAGTTTTCCTGGGAAAAGGATTTTCTAAGGCCTTTACCTATTTTTTTTTTATCTTTAGTGAGTTTTATTATTGTTTTAAATTATTTACAGACAGTGCTACCTTTTATTTCCTGCAGCTGAGATGGATTGCCCCACCTTCAATATAACACTGATGGGTAATTCAATTAATTAAATGCTAGTTCTGATTTAAATCCAAGTTAACAGTTAGCATATGACGATCCATCATGCTGACACACTGGTTATCACCAAATAGCTCCCTTTTCTCTTTGGTAATGCTCACCCAGTGTTTTCTGAAATGTAGCTTTCATGACCTCAGAATTGTGAGCTTGAGGTGATTACCTGGATTTTGCTCTGAAAAGAAATAACATTCTATATTATTTGAGAGACACCTATGGAATCATTTTATGAAGCTCACCTATTTTTAAGTGCGAGGTGGCTAAAACCCATCTAGTAAGGGTTTTAAGAGAACTGGCTGCCAGGTTGCAAGACCACAGCTGTGAGGTGGCATCTACGGGGCCCCTACAACCCTGTCAGAATCGGACACCCCTATATCACAGACCAGGGAGCCAAGCATTGGGGAGATCAAGACTCACAAGCAAGAACAGCCACTGGTAAGTGGCAGGACTGGGAGACAAACCCCAGCTGACCCCATCTGCACGCTGCGACTAGGCTGGTGAAGCAGAAAGTTACCCAAGTCTGCTGCTTGGGGGAGTCTGCTCCTTAGATTCTGCTGTTTGCAGAAGTTGCTGGGTGCACGGCACTGCTGCTCACAGGGGCAGCCATGGCTACCTTGACCCCCTTCCCGAACAATAAAGAATGCTTATGTTATGATGGATGGGACAGCAAGTTTCCTCATTCAAACTGAATAAAGCCCTGCCATTTTCACTCTGGGCTGCTCAGCCTGTTGGGAGCGATCCCACTGAGCCCGCCGGCGAGACAAGTAAATCTCTCTCCCCACCTCTCCGACTGCCGTCTGATTTCTCTGGGAAACTGCCATAACACGGGTGCTTAGCCAAGCAAATGTGACCCGCAAGTCCCTGCCCTGCAAGCCCTGCCCCCGGCACGGGGTGCCATCCAGAGCAGGGCTGAGGCAGGAGTGCAGGAGCCCCAGCAGGCTGGGCAAGCTTCTCCTCAGAACCCGCTGACCCTCATCACATCCCGCCTTGGCGGCTAGTCAGTGGCATCCACATGGCGGCGCTGGGCCCCTGGGCCCTGCCTGGCATCTGGCCCTTCCTCATCCATTCTGGCCACACACATGGCCCCCTGCCAAACTTCCTTGCCGACCACACATTAGAGGCCTGGGAGGATCAAGGTGCGGGTCGGGGAAGACGACACCCCAAACCCTGCAGCTGGAGAGCTGGCCCTCGGCTCTGCTGGGGTTTCATTTCTGTTCAGTCCAACACATCAGGTGCCGGCGACAAGGCAGCGCCCTGGGGCTCTAGAATCTCACTCTTGGGGTTTCCTCTTGTTCCACTTTAGGAACTGACCCTGGCCTTAGGGATTCCAAGAAACTAGAACCATTTACAACCTACAACCTGGTTTTTCTTTGAATACAGTAGCTTCTGTAGGGCTTACTGTCACTCCCTGAACACAATGGATCAGGAAGGGGGGGCAGCGGGGAGAGGCAGGGGCTGCTCGGCCCTGTCCAAGGGAAGAAGGCCTTTGTGCACATGCTCCCAGGGCGCCTTCCATCGAGAGTGGCTTTCTCTGAGTCTCCTCCAAGGGCCACCTCGCACCAGGGGAGGGAGCCAAGGAGAAAGGATTTACCTCCTGGGACCCTTCCAGCAGTGGGAAGGCCCCACTCCCACCCTGCTGGTTCTCACAGACTGGCCACCTGGGTGTCTCTCTGGGGCCCAAGAGGGAATCCCAGTCCAGGGGAACAGAGAATGCTCGACCCTTGAGATTCTCATTTTCAGGATGGTTTCTCACATTCTCACATTTCTCACATTCTCAGGATGGTTTCGATTCACCTTTGAGGTGCCTGATGGATTTTCAGAGGATCAAAGTTCTGTGAAGGGCTCTTGCACGAGGGAGGGAGTGCTTCCAGGTCACACTCCTTGGGTCAAGGCCATCAGAGGTCCCCGCTCAGGGGGTGTGTCCACAGGTGCCTGGGGGTGCAAAGGTGCCCACAACTCCTGCACTGGCCTTCTGGTGACTGCGGTCCCTCCACGGAAACTTCTCTAGCTTCTTGTGGAACTGCCTCTCACAGAGTCCCAGACTTTCCCCAAAACATCTGAGCAGTTTCAGAAACTACCCTTGTGATTCTTGAGGTCGCCCCAACTTCCTCCAGACCGCCAGCTCCTGGTGAGTAAACAGGAGCTTTCCCAACCGGCTCGCAGTGGGTAATTCCAGGAGCCTCCAGGCACCCACCACGCAGGCTGGGGCTGCGGTGTCTGTCCTCTGCCAGACACCCCTTTCCAAGGCCACTTATGCTGACTCGAGTCTGAGGCCCTGGGGAGAGCGGCTCAGCAGACCCAGGCCCGGGCAGCTTCGCGCTCAGAGTGAGCCGCAGAAATCCGGAATCCAGATTCATGTTATCTCCTTTCGGACAGCACAGAAGCAGGTCAGACGAGTGGTGAAGCCACATTGCTTTCTGACATCCACATCCCAACCAAGAGTGCCAGGGGGCAGGGCTGCTGTCTGCAAGCCTGAGACATTCACGCAGTGCCCATGAGCAGACCGGGACCATGTAGGGTTCCATGGCTCCCCTTTTTCATGCAGTGAGGAAGCAAAGTGGGCCCTTCTCCGGACACCAGCAGGAGGGCAGAGTCTACCAGCCGGGGTAGGCTCTGCAGCTGTTGACCATCTGGATGGCTGGGTCCCCAAGCCTCCCACTGCAGGGACAGGTGGGACATTCTGAGATGAGCTGATCCAAAGTTCTCGGCCTACCAAGAGGGCCACAAACAGGGCAAGCCGGCAGCCCCAGGGGGTCCCTCTCAGCCAGCCGGGCATTCACATGGGCACAGAGTACAGCCTGCAACTGCAGCCAAGATGGAGCTGGTCCACCACGCCCATCCCTCAATTTCCCTTTTGACTCAGGGACAACCACAGGCGCTGGCTCGGTGCCCCCTGAAGGTCACGATTACAGTAGTTGGGGGTACAAAGCCCAATGGGTGTCACTTCTGAGGCCCTGGGGGAGGCGAGAGGCAAGGGCAGAGCGGTACAGGCCTCATGGCCTCTGCCTCGAGCGGGCCACGGCCTGGCAGTGTAAAGCGGATGCCCAGGGTTCTGGGGCTCCTTCAGGGCAACAGCAGAAAGCAGAGTGCCCGGCAGTCGTTGCTCCAACAAACATCGCCGTTTAGATCCAGCCCCTGGGTTGTCTGCTGCACAAGCCCGGCTCCCCGAAGGTCTGGGTTGGGGCGCAGCGGGGTGGGGGTGCAAACAGAGGCCATCTGCATCCTGCACGCACTGGATGATGGAAACTCAGTCCATGCCAGGTGGGCCTCTGTCCCCAGCTTGGTGCCAACAGCGCTGGCCTGGCCCCCAGGCACCCTCTCAGCCCCGGTGCAGGCCAGGCCTCATTTCCCAGAGGCGGTCGTGGGCCAGGGGTCCTCCTTCCCTTCCTCCTCTACTGAGAACATGACATCCCTGCAGCTCCCCGGCGGTGCTTCTGTCTCCTGCTCCGGATAGCGGGGGGCATGGTCCACTTCTAGATCCTCAAACTCGGGTTCCACAGGGCTCGCCGGCCCCACCAGGCTCCGGCCCTCAGGCACCTCAGTCTTCACAGTCCCCACAATCACTGTGTCGGCCTTCATGATGTAGATTTTCTCTGCAAGGCAAAAGGATGGGTGAGGAGACCTGGGCCCCGGCACACAGCAGCAAGGGGGCAGAGTAGGTGCCGGGTCAGCCATTCCTGCTGTGTGGCCTCAGGCAGATGACACAACCTCTTCGGTGCACAGTAACCACCAACCTGGCAGGAGACAAACCAGCCAGGAGCAGTGGGCTGAGGAGTTAAGGACTGGCCACTCGCTACTTATGGGAGATATTTGGAATTTTCTTGGCACTTCTGAGGGAATAGGGCAGGGAAGGATTGAACAGGGCTGGGGGAAGCAGACAATGGGGTGGAGAACACCAGGGCTAGAAACACAAGTGGAGCTCAGCCTGTGCTGGATGCTGTCCCAGGCGCTCTCTCCACCTCTCAGCACCTGGCTGATGGGACACAGCACTCTGCAAGGTGAAGACTTCATTATTTATCCCCACATCACAGACAGAGAACTTGGAGCCCAGGAGGTTAAATGACCTGCCCAAGGTCACCAGAGCATTAAGAGAAATCTCCAAAGAAATTCTCACCCCACCTGACTCCCCTTCAGGCATCTACCCTGGGTGCCTGAAGCAGAAACCAGTTTGCCCCAGTTTGCCTGGGAGGCTCTCCGTTTTAGTAGGGAAAGTCCCATATCCCAGGAATCTCTGCAGCCCAGACAGTTGGCCGCACCCTACAGAAACCTCAGTCCTGTTAAAGATCAAGGGCAGCTGGTGATTCAGTTTTTCTCAGGACAGTGTATTTTGGTGTTTATTGCTTGTTGTTGACCTCCCACCTGGGGCCCTCATGGCTTGGTCTGCCTAGCAGTAGGACTGCGGGAGCATAGGGCTGCCCAGCACATAGTAGGACTGCTGACGCATAGCGCTGCCTAGCACATAGTAGGACCACTGAAGCATAGCACCACCTAGCACATAGTAGGACCACAGGGGTATAGCTCTCAACTAACAACCAGCATATTTCTTGTGGTCCTGCCCATCTGCTGTGAGGGCTTCAGAGACTCAGGGGAGTTAAGTAGGTTGCCCCAGCGATAGGCCGTAGGAGCCTGGCCTTCTCCCAGGTCAGTGACCCAGCACCAGCCCTGCTTCTGGCGGCTGGAGCTCAGCTCAAGGCAGGGACCCAGCTGTTTCTGGAAGCTGAATGGGAAGATCATGAGGGAACAGATGCTGGGGTGGGGTGGAGTGGTGGGCTGGGGATCTCTGCCTCTCTGGGTTACAGAGAATCCCCCCAAAGATTCTTCATCCCTACTGCATAATGCCAATGCTTCCTTTTGGCTTTTAACATCTTCAAGAAAGAGAGAAGTATTCAAAATAGCAGTGAGCACAGGATGCTAAGAAAGGGGGACATGCTGTAGCCTGGGACACCCCAAAAGAGAAAGTAGGGCCTCACACACCACACAGCCTCCATCAAGGCCCTACCTTGAAAACCTGACCAAAGGATCGAAAATAGCGAGAGAGGAGGGGGTCTGGGGTGAGAGAATTGGGGCACAGGAGCAGGCGTGAGAGAAGGTGCAGGCTGGTCCAGGCAGAAGCCAACGTTGGGGGGCCAGGCTACCACCCCCACATTCCTGACCCCTCAGGCTCTGACCCATCATGGGGCTGACCCCTCCCCAGTTGGGAGAGGGAAAGTCTTCCAGAACCGCTTAGACTTCCCACCACACCCAGGACTCCAGAATCTAGGAAAGTTGTTTGGAGGGGTGGGGTGTGGTCTTGGAGGAAAGAGGCTCAGACCTAAGTGTGCCCCCCACCCCGGGACACTGGACAAGGCAGCTCGGGGCTCTGCTAGAGCGGTGCCAGGACAAGAAAAGGGCCACCGTGTCAGTGTCCCACTAGAACCTCCCTCTCACACCCATGCAAGGTTTACAGGCCAACTAGGGCGGGGCACTGGCCCCAATGCCTGGCACCTCCTTCACCCTGCCCCCCAACACTCCCTGAGCACCCCCCCCCCGAGTTCCAGGCACTGTATTCAGCATGGATACAAACGTTCAAATTAGGAGTTCTTAGGAAATTTTAAGGAGATGCCTTTGGTGGTATTTCCCAAAATGCATTCTTTTCCAATGAAACTTGCTGAAAGCTACAATTCCAGGAGTTTCGGTTTGACGCAAAAGACTCTGCCCAAAGAGGCCCATCCACCAATCCTGCCATGGAAACATGTAAGATGATTCCAAAGGCCTCGTTAGTATTGTCCCAGCTCTGCCTCACCTTCCAGAGAAGACAGGCATGAGGCCCTGCCTACAGGGAGCTCACAGCCAGGGTGGGGGGCTGGGGGTGCTGCAAAGTTCTAAGTGCTGAGGTCACTGGTGGGGGTGGCCTGGGATGGGGGAGGAGCAAAGCAGAGGGGCATGAAGCATAGACAGGAGCATGAAGAGGTCAGGGAAGGCTCCCTGGAGGAGGAGGCGAATAAGCAGGGCCCACAGGATACCAGGAACTTACTAGGTTCAAGGAGGGTGGGGTTGGCTGTGCCAGGTGAGGAAGCAGCTCTCACAGAGAAGTGCAGAAGGGTGAGGAGGTGCCCCAGACTCAGGGAACTGCCGCTGTGGGGGGGACCAGGAGGCAGATAAGACTGGGGGGGGAGGAGGCAGCTTTAATAATGCCCCGATAAGAATCCTGGAATTCAGCCAGGTGACAGGGACCCCCTGGAGGATTCCAAGCAGGGATGTGAGACAAACAGGGACTGCTGGGGAACACTCTTGCCATAGCAGGCTGGGAAGGGAGGAGAGGAGACATGGGGGGGCCAAAATGGCAGGCTGTCGGAGTTGGGGGGCATTTGCAACTCGGGAAGAGTAGGCCCCCTGCCTCTGCAGGGGCCCAGGTGGTATGGGCGAATCCAGGGTTTCTGACTCCCAAAGATACTGGGTCGGGTCGAGGTGCAACTGCGTAGAGACTGTGTGGTGGGGAGAGCCAGCTCACCGCCCTGAGCTGGACCTTCCTCAGTTAACACACAGCAGGTGTGACAATGAGGGGTGACATTTGCATGGATCCCCAAAGGCACCAGACATGTGGCAGGTCTTACTTATGGTTGCTGTGTCTTCCTCCTGTCCCCCTCAGGGGCTCTTTGTTGGGGTTGGGGGGGGTGTTTCACTTTATACTTTAATGATAGCAGGTGCTGGGCAAGAGTACCCCTTCCCCAAGGTCACCCCACCTCACCGGGATACCATCATGTGCATTCGCTCATGAATTTTCACAAGGGACCCCGGAGGTTGGCACTATAATTCCTATTTTGCAGAAATTTAAATTGGGGTGAAGAGACGGAGCCAGCTGCACTGGCCATGCAAGTGTGGTTACTCTTTCACCAAAAGTGGCTCCTGCTCCTGGCATGGAGCTGGGTCTTCTAGCCCGAGTCTCTGCACCCCCACCCCCGGCCCCTGGCCCCTGACCACACTGGAATCCCCAACAGGCCGACTCACCAATCCTGTTGTTGGTGTGCTCCGAGGCCGAGGCCGCCCTGGGCTCAGAAAGGTCCGTGGGGGATGGGGGGGTGCCACAGGGGCTGGCTTCCAGCAGCCGCTGGCTCTCCAGACAGTCCGCCCCCATGGCAGGGAAGGTCTCCGCCAGTGGGGAGTTTGTGAACCCCAGCTCTGCTGTGACTGGCTGTGCCACTGAAAATCTCCTCTCCAACTCCTGTGGACAGGGGAAATGGTGCTGCTGTGGGGAGGCCCAGCTTCCCCCAGTTCTGAATGGGGAACCCCCCGTTTCTTTTCCTCCACGGCCCCTGTGAGTCTGCCTCTGCTTTAAAGCAGCCGCCAGCTCCCGGGACATCTCTGCCAGGAGGGCCTGACGTCCCCACACGAGGCGTTCTGGGTGAGATCTGTTGGCTTTTACCTCAGCCGGGAACTCTCTCAGCCATTACTGCTTATTAACGCCTTAATTTGCACCACCAGCCTACCAGGTGTTTGATATTAGCACCCTCCCGTGTTGCAGATCAGCGGAATCTCAGGCACAGAGGAATCCAGGAACTTGGTCAAGGCAAGTCCTTGAACCCGGCACCTGGCTCTGGCATCCGCGCTTGAGAGCAGCGCCTGGAAGTGTGGGCTCAAGCCTCCCCCCCCACGCCAGCCCAAGCTCCTGGGACTGGAGAGTTCTATGATTTACAATGACGGATCCTAAAAACAGTTATGCTGTCTCAGAAAAACCGTTTAGTTTTTTACTTTCACATGTGCAAAAAAGTGGCCTGGGGAATGTGTTCTAATGTATTGGTCTCCAAAATGGAACAAGTTTGAGTCATTCAGGAAAGATGTCTACACAATCTGGAACAATCTGGAACAGATTGTGTATAATAATTTGAAGTTCAATGATTGCTACTACTAATGCTTTGGTCCACGGGCCAAGAAATACGTGATTATCTTACAGATCATTAAATACTCTTTTCAGGAAGTTTTCCAGTATTATGCCAGTTGTGTCTGACCCAAGCATATGTGAACATGATGCTGAGTAATCTGAAGGGAGCTGAGCTTCAGCGGTACCGCCGCAAGTCCCCCCACTACCCCCCAGCTCCTGCGCAGAACGAGCATGTCACAGAAGTGATGAAGATGTTCTCACAGGAGGCGCTTGGGCCCGCGGTTCTGGAGTCACACAAACCAGGGCCTGATCTCCTTCTGGAGCTTTTTTCCAACCGTGGGGCACCTTTCCTGCCTGGGCCTCAGTTTCCCATATATAAAATAGTTCCACGGTGTAAGCCTTAATGCCGTGAGGCCCACCCGAGGTGACTTGGAGAAAGCACGAGCTTTAAAAGAAAAGTGCTACTGGTTTGCTGTCCCTGCTGTGGGGACAAGCATCTTGGAGGAGTGGAGGAGAAAAGGGGAAGTAAACACGCCTTCCTCCTGACTGCGCCTGGTACACAAAGAGGCCAAAACCAAGTCCATGGTCTGGCAGGCCTTTCTGGAAGTCCCTGGCCTGATGAGCCAAGTGCAAGGCTGCTGTGGGTGGGGCATCCCAGCCAGGCTGGCTGAGCCCCTGCTGTGCTCAGCTCCCTGCACAGGGGGCTGGTGACCCCCAGCCTGAACTTCAACTGCTCAGTAGGTTGAAGAACCAGAAACTCTGTTAGGGAAGGGGCCAGGGCATGAGGCTGGGGTGGGGACAAGGGAGGGAATACTTACTGCATGTTTCTTCCCAGGCTTGGAATCTGCAAAAGGGAAAAGAGCAGCAACTTCACCAAGGAGGATCTGGCAGCTGAGCTCCTGCTCCACCCATATGAGGCCCATGCTCCCCCCATACACCCCCCCCCCCCCACAGGGTCAGCTGGAGAATAGAGGCTGAGTGTCAGGGTCGGCTCCCCATGATCACTTCTCCACCAGCAGTGGCAGCCAGAGGATGAGCCCCTGCCACTAAGTCTGTTAGCACCCTGACTTCCTCTCTAGGGGTCCCCACCAGACAGACAGACAGACAGACAGACACACACACACACACACACACACACACACACACACACACAGAGGTTCCAGAGAGGCCCCTCGAAGCCTCCAGGACCTGAAGAGTCCACAACTCCCCAGAGCAGCTGGCAAAACCCCGCGAGGGCCCCAGGATGACAGAGAGCAGACATGCCTGAGCCCAATCTACCCCGAGCCCTATCCCCAGGCCAGAATGATCCAGTTTTCTACCCCCAGTGCTTGACAGAGCCAAGCCACCACCCCCAGGGAGAACAACAGAGCCCCCCACTGCCTGCAGTCCTACCTTTGATGGGCTGGGGAAGGCATTCTTAGGGCATGACCTTAACCTTCTCGCCCCAGCCCTACCCTCCACTCCAGCTGTCCCGTCATATTAAATAGGGGCATGTCGTGGCCGAGCAGACATTGACAATTAACCATGACCCACTGGCTATCTGAAAAAGGGGGGCTGGTGCCCCAGGTTTCTGGCCTGTCCTCAGGCAAATCAACTCCCAGGCGCCCGCCATCCTCTGGGGATGCACAGCCTTTTACGATCCCTGAGGAGGCTGATCAGGAGGCTTGGAATAAGCTGCTATGAGGGGTGTACCCTGACGGAGGATACATTGCTGGTGGCACCTCCAAAACATTCTCTGATTTCAACAGCTCTGGAGGGGCCAGGTGCCAAGACTCCAGCTGAAACTCTCCCTGGAAGCCCACCCAGCTCAAGGACACAAACAAGAGCGGCAGACGGGAGGTGCCTGGGGACCCTCAGTCAGTGTGGGGGACACAGTGAGGGAGTGTCTGGCAGGGCCAAGGTCGGGCGTTGGTTGAACGCAGCCGTGTAAGGAAGACAAGGCCAATTCTAGACTCAGCACGAGCCGAGTTCACTTCTTTGATGATTGATAACTGCCTTCCCGGGGGAGCGGCAGGCTACGGCCTATCCACCACCCTCGCAGCCCCACTTTGAGAAAAGCCCACTGGCCTGAGGCGGTCTTGTAATGATGTCCGTGAAGCCCAATCTTTGTCTTTGAGAGTGATTTGAGTTTTTGCAAACAGCCAACTGGGATTGGGTGCCAAGTCCCTGGGGTGGCCAGGGAGGGAGACAGGCGTGTGACAGGTTAAGATCAAATAAATAAAAATGGTCAAACCCAGTTTTGGGGAGGACGTGGGCAGCCAGGAAGCCAGCTGCTCTGGCCCTGGCTCCTTCGCTCTCAAAAGCCACCCAGCAATGAAAACCTCACACCCTGGCCTCCTTGGTGGCCTAGGGGTTAAGTCTCAGCACTACCACCAAGAAGGTCAGAGTTTGATTCCCGGCCAGGGAGCTACCCACAGGGCGCAGCAGACCTCTCCTGTCCTCTCACCTCCACAACTCTGGCCTAAACCCCAGTTCTTCTATCCATAAATAGATAAATAAATATTCTTTAAAAAGGAAAAAAACCTTTGACCCAGTCAAGCCATTTCAGTGACACACCCTCAGGAAATCACCAGAAAGAAAACAAGAAGCCTGTGTTCAGCCACGATATCTAGAATAACCAAAAAGTGTAAAACAAGCAAGATAAACAGTGAGGGAGCTGGAGGGGCCTGCCTGGTGGTGAGGACCTCCTCCCGGCAACAGCACCTCACCTCCCCACCCCGAATCCTTATGTCTGGAAAATGGGGCTTTTTATGCAAATGAGACTGGGAAAGGGAAGGAGCCCAGTGATCAATCACGGGGGGGGGGGGGGGGGGGAGGGGGGCGGAGCAGGGCCCTTGAGAACATGTGCCAGAAATGGCCGTGGACCTGTGTGTGCTCTTCCCCCAGACCCATGACCCTAATCCATCAGGAGAAAAACACCAGGAAACTAAACAGAACGGAGCATCCCACATCCTGGCCGGGACGCCTCTGAGTGCCAAGGTCATCAACAACAAGGAAAGCTAAAAACTGCCAGCACCCAAAGGAGCCTAAGGAACATGATGTCCTGGGTGGGCTCCCAGGGCAATAAGGCTAAGAGTAAGGATGAGAGTGGAGGGGCTCTAGTCGCCCACACCTGGTCACTTGTCCATTGCGACCCACACACCATGGTCAGGTAAGACATTAGTGCAGAGACACTGGATGTGGGGCACCTGGGAACTCTGTTCTGTCTTCTCGAGTTTTCTGCAAGTCAAAACTGCTGGAAAAAATGGCGTCTATTTAAAATTTTAAAAATCTAAAAGGAAAGGTGGGCCTCCCTGGTGGTGCAAGGGGTTACCACCACACTATGAAGCAATTTGCAGCCTCTGCAGCACGAGTTTGATCCCCAGCCAGGGAGAAAGCCACATGGTGCAGCAGACCTCTCCTGTCTCGTCTCCTGCACCCCCTCAGCAGTGTATTTCAGTAGATCCACCTGTTCTGCTCCCCACTCTGTCTCTGGTGAATCCTCTCACCCCCCCACATCTCTGGCCTGTACCCCAACTCTTGCATGCATAAATAAATAAATCCTTAAAAAAATAAAGGAAAATAAAAAATAAAAGGAAAGGTGCAGGGATGCTGCCTGGCACGTTGTGGGTCCCGGATCTCAGCAGGGCTTGGCCCCCCGTCACGCTGATGAGAAAATCAGCACTCGCTGCCAACTCTCGGAAACACAAAATGACATCAAGGTGATAAGGAATCCAGAAGGTGCCGACATCTGGCACGACCACGCGGTGACCCAGCCCCCATGGCCCTGCCAGTCACAACCAGAACAGATCGTGCCCGGTCACAGAGGTCAGATTCCATAAGTGCTTTTCCCCTAAAAACCTTGCTTCAGGCCACTGTCGTCATCTCTGGGTTTCCTGGCTATTTGGAATAACTGCAGTATCGCTCGCAGCACACCCAGGGCCTGAGGGTACCGGTCCCGGGGACACTGGGCAGCGGTGGGTCCGGGGCACACGAGCAGGGTGTTGCGGGGTGCTCCAGACAGCCGCTCTAGCCAAGCCAGCGAGTTCTGACGCCCTCCTCCCTTCCACCCCCTTCCAGGCCGGCCCCTCTCTGGCCTGGAGTCCCAGCGGCTGTGGGTAGCAGACCCAAGGAAGGAGTCTGGCACAGACGTCCGGCCAGGCTTGGCCGACAGGCACCCCTAGATTCAAAAACCCAGGCTCTTTGGCGAGTTGGCAGATCACGGCTGGAGCAGGAGCGTAGCAGACAAGCTGGGAACTACTTAGCGGAAAGAATGAAACACAGGACCTGGAAGCTGTCTGAGGGGCTCCCCCAGGGCCATCGAATGTGAATTAAATAACAATGGCAACCAAATAAAACAGGAATCCATGATCCACACAGATGAGTGAAGAAAAGGGAAGCTTCATGAGCATGGGCTATTCCCATCGCCTCTAAGTACCTCCCCTCAAAATACCTCACAATTACCCCAGAGTAGGGCCTGGTGGACACCACCCTCATCCAGGGCTCGACGTGCGACAGCAGGAGAAGCAGATGCCTCAAGAGCACGAGCTTCACCTGGGGTCTTCCCACCAAGCACTCAGCCCCTGACTCGGGGCAGGAAGACCCAAGATGAGGGGCAGCCCCGAAATGGCAGGTACAGGCTTCAAAACATGAGGACCCGGCCCAGATTGGAGGAGCCTCGGGGGACACGACAACCCGGGGCCACGTGAGATCCCCAAGTGGCTCCTCTTGTTCTAAAGGACAGTGCTGAGTGGATAAGGAAGGACCCTCAGGGGTGGCAACAGATGCTGTGATCACAGATGCTGTGAGCTGCCCCAGGGCCGTGTCAAGATAGGCCCGTGTTTGGATAAAGGCCACACTGAGTATTCAGAGGTGACAAGACAGCCAGTCAGGAACTTACTCAACTTACCCTGTATTTGCTCTTCTGTAACTCTGAAGTCATTTCAAAATATACCCCCAAAAAATGTCAGCTGAAGCCTGCCTGAAGTAACAGACGACCTGGTGACTAAGTCACGGGTGAGGGCTGAAAGAATTCCAGACAGAGTTTCTCAGACAGAGTTTCTCAACCAGGCGAGACTCGCCCCAGGGGATGTTGGCAAAGTCTGGTCATCTCAGCTGGGAGGTGCTACTTGTCTCTGAACAGAGTCAGGGAAACCGCTCAGCAGCCTCTGAGACCCAGGACAGACCCCACAGCAAAGGGTGTCCGGTCCCCACAATCAACAGTGAGGAGGGTGAGGGGCCCTTTTGACAAAAATCCCACCACCAACAACCACCAACCACCAACTCCTGGCCAAACTGCTAAAAACCAGTGATGGCGCCCTGGGAGGGATAAAACGTACGAGCTTGGCAAAGGCCCTGCCACAGACATTCGCGCCATTGAGTCAGCTCAAGATGACGGGCGGGCATTCGGCAGCTGCCTGCACTCCGCGTGCCGTGTCAGGAGCTGCAGGACCAGGCAGCTGGGGCACACGTCCCATCCTGCTGGCCTTGGGCCCTTAGAGGCTGATACTGGCCTGAAAGCTCGGGACTGCTAGGACAGGACGTGGCTGCGCCGGTGGTGCTCAGGGACCACGATTTAAGTATATGAATGAGGGAGCCAGTGAGCAGACGCCCCTTCATCCTCAGCACCCGCTGCTGGGGAGGGGAGACTGGAGGGGAAGGCAGGCACCTGCCTGCTCAGTCCCTTCTCAGCCTGTGCCTATGGGACTTCACCTTCCTTCCAACCAGGTCTGACCCAAGGAACCCACCAGAAAGAAGCCCAGAAGGTCAGAGACAGCCCCAAATGGGGTGACCCCACTGAGTCTTGGGCTCTGTCCCTTGTTGGTCTGACATCTTGAGGAAAGGTGCTTGCTTGCTTGTTCTCTCTCTCTCTCTCTCTCTCTCTCTCTCTCTCTCTCTCTCAGCAAAACTGCTATCACAAAGGTTTGAAGAAAAAAATAAACTGACGGCAATGGAAATTCTAATACTAGAAAAATGTCAAGAAAGCAAACCTGGTTTCAATGAGACGTGAGGCTGACAGCTCATGGAAAAAGGCTTGAAACTATCAAAACACAAAAACCCCCCTTGCGCAGGGCGCACAGCACCTGCCTGTGAAACTGTCAGCTTCAAAACAGGCCTGGTGCACCGGCTTCTGAGCCACGCCAAGCATGTGCCCCCCACCCGGGCTTTCTCAGCCGGCTCTCCGCGTCCTGGGGTGGGGGCACTTCCACCCTGGGCCAGCTAGCCTCCTTCTCAGCTTTGTGTCCTCCTTCTGGAATCTTCCCCCTGCCTCCCCGGGGGTCCTGGGTCCCCGAGCCCCTCCATGGGAATCTGCCCTTCAACCAGAAAGGGTAGTTCATACCCTTCCTGCTCATTCCTCCCCGGCCAGGGCCCGCACTCAGCAAACAGCGCCCGTGAGAGCCCCCATGGAGGGCCGGGAGAGAAGATGCTTGGCCCCAGGTGGCTGCCCCCCACGAGGAGCCTGCCGCAAGAGCTGGCTGGGAGGCAGGCAGGGGTCAGAGCCCTGAGCAACGGCCCATGAGTTGTTCAGAACAACCTGGAACTCAGGAAGGCCTGGGGCTCCTGATAAGGGAAAGGCACAGGCTGGCCTGTCCAGCAGCCATTGTTCACTGAACTGACCATGAAGGCACCTGCATGTGCACACACACACGCACACACACACAGGGCACTGAGCGGGCCCTGTCACCACTGACCACAGGCCCACCTTGAAGTTGGTCCCACTGTCCCTATTGAACAGATGTGCAAACTGACACCCAGAGGAATTAAGTCACTCACCCAAGGTCATGCAGCTTGTCAGTGGTAGGACAAGATTCTAGCCCTGTCAGCCCATCCCACCGGCCCCCACAGACCCCTACCTGCCCCATCAGCTGCGGAGGGGGCAGCAGGAGAGGAGGGATGTGAGGGGAGAGGGAGGTGGGAAGGAGGGCTGGGCAGGGGCTCTGCAGACTGTAGAGGAAAGAAGAAAAGGGAAGCAGATTCTTAACCCTCCCACAGTCTCCATGCAAACACTGTGCTGACAGGAGCGTGCAAAGGGAGGAGGCGCTGTGTGTGGGCAGCCGAGCTGAGGGAGCCCTTGGGGAGCCCCAGCTTTGCTGTGTGTCTGAGGGACTCCAGCAAACCCCCTGGGATGGCTGGGCACTCACCCACAGGCTCCAGCTTGGGCCGGAAGGTCTGGGCTGGGTAGCACAGGTGGAGCTCTGAAATGACAATGGAGGAGCTGGAGGGACAGGGCAATTGGGGGAAGGGCTAGTCCAGGCCAGAAGAGAGGACTCCCCCACCCCACCCGCCACCCTCCCCGGCCTGACCCAGATGCGTCCACTCACTCTGCCTGATCCACTTCCTGCAGGCCCGCCGGTGGCACAGGAGGAAGGCGCTGAAGGCCAAGACCACCAACAGCATCAGGACCACCCAGGAGAACACGTGTCCTGGAACACAGAGGGAAGCTGCACTTTGGGCCCTAACACGGGGGGCCCCAAGGTCACCATCATGGCAGAGAGCCGGGGGTCCCCGCTGCAGTCACACAGGACAGGACAGGCCTGGTCCCGACCCCTCCCTGCTCCTGGGCAGGCACTCCAGGGTGGCCGACAGGACAGAAACCCAGACCCTGTACCTATGTGATCCACCCTTGCCCATCCTGGAGCCCCGCTGGCTCCAGGAAGCCCATCAAAGGAGATAAATAATAAAGAGGAAAGCTAATTATTTCTAGAGGGTGAGGCTTTGAGGGGTGCAGCAGCCAGAGCGAAGCAGGAATGGGCCTGTAGAGGAGGTACATGCGACATGGCAGCGCCTTCCCCAGGATCAGACCTTGGGGGCAGGTCTCCGGGGGGTTTCCTGATCCAGGGGAGCCTGACCCAACTCCCAGCTTCCCCTCCCAACTCCCCGTGAGATGGGCAGCGGGTCTCCACGCTTACATGCACTCAGCAAGGGTTCTCTGTGCGAATCAGCACCCCCATGCCCGGGGCACCATTACTGTCTCAGTTTTACACACAAGGGAAACTGAGGCTGGAGAAGGTTAAGAGATTCAGCCACTTGGTTGCTTATGGAGATCCTCTATCTAATTACGGTCTTTAAAGTCCATTGTCAGATGTTAAAACATATTAAGTGCCAGATAAATCCCTCTCAAAGCGCAGGGATCTCCTGGGAAGGCGTTAAAATGCAGATGTGAGTCGGGAGGGATGGGGGGGCCGTGCGACAGGATTTTCTAACAAGTTGCGTCTGTTCCACGCCCTGACCACTACCGCCACCTACAGTCGGATACTGGAACTGTGAGCCCCAAGGTCTGGGCCTTGGCAGCGGGGTAAATGCACCAGGTACAGACCCCAGGCTGCTGCTCACCGTCCTATCACAGGTGAGAAAACTGAGGCTCAAAGGAACTAAACAACTGTTCAAGGTCGTGAAGTCATTCAACCAATATTTTCTAAGCAGCTATTGTGGGCCTTGGAGATGACGCTGTGAACAAGAGTGAAGGAATAACCAACCACTAGCAAGACCAGAGCCCAGGCCCAGCTCAAGGAGCCAGAATCCTGACCCCATCTTGGCCCCCACACCCCGCCCACTGGACACTGTCAACGGGGTGTTCAGGCCCCTGGGAGGAAGGCCCTTCTTCCTTCGGGGTGATGGGGTGACGGTTACCTGGCAACAGAAAGGGACTTTCGGTAAAGGAGGTCACTTCATGGCCCTTGATGGTCTGGGATTCGGCCTTCGAGATCACGGGGGTGATGGCGCTGGGGAGAGAGGCCAGAGGTGAGGCAGATGGTCGGGATAGAAAAAGGGAAGTGTGTGCTCAGGAATAATTCCCCTTCTACGGGATTGTGTAGACGAGGCCTGAGTCCCTTCCGCCCGTTCTCTGCACAGAGCTGGGCACACATCCCCCAAAGTGACTTTGGGGCTTCACAGGGAGATCCAGCCCAGACCCTACCTCCATCCCCTGCCCAGCTGCCTCCCAGGCATCCCCTGGCCATGGGTGGGGGGTGTGCGGGGTAGCCCCATCCTGCTGTGGCCATTGGGAGAGAAGGTCAGAGCTCACCTGGAGGGTGACTTGTCCTCTGGGTTGGGGCTACAGTCAGGGTGGGTCCCTGAAGTAGGTGGCTCATTGGTGGTGTCCCTGTCCGTCACACCTGTAGGGAGTAGCTTTAGAATTGGTGCCAAGGAGCCCACCCAGCAGCAACTGGAGACACCAAGAGGCAGCACGGTGGGGCCAGAGGGTTCCAGACATAGTAGCACCAGGGGCCCAGGGTTTGTATCAGTGCTCTGTCTCCTTCCTCTCTCCCTCTCTCCCTCATTCCTTCCATGCAACAACTCTTTATTAAGCACCTACTATATACCAAGAACTGCACTGAGAGCTGGGAAATAGCAGTGAGCAAAGCAGGCGCCCCACCCACAGGGATCACAGGCTGGTGGGGCTCACAGATGTGACTCGGGGGTCACAAGACATCCTCATCTGACTGAGGAGACTCCCCTGAGGAGGTGGTCACTGCGATGTGGGGTATCTAAGCAGAGGAAACAGAAGGCGAGGTGGAGGACAGAGAGCACATGAGGAGGCTGGGGTCAGGGCAAAGAGACTGGAGAGGCCACCCCATTAAAGTTGTCAGGCCTCTCCACATAGCAGTCTTCGTAGCAATCAAAGAAGTGGAAACACCCAAATGCCTATCAACTGGTGGACATAAGGATGAAGCATTGTCTGATTTTATTTACGAGAAAACCTGAAACATGGTTTCCAAAGGTAGCCACATGTTTTCAAGTTTTTCTTTTGAGGTGAACTTTACTGAGATAGGATTTATGTAGAAGAAAATGGCCCCTAAGTGTACAGTTTGATACATTTTGAAGAATGCGCACTTCTGCAGAACTGCAACTCCATTCTAGATCGAGAATGATCGAGAACATTCTCCCCACCCCAGAAAGCTCCCAGCGCCCTCCACAGCCAACCTCCTCCAGGCCCAGGCCACCACCACTGCTGCACTCGAGGTCACTGTGTGCAGATCGCTGTGGGTCACTATGGACTCCACGTGCAGAGAATCCACCACAAAAGCGCTTGCTCAGCTTTCTTCACTCATTGGAGAGCACCAAGACTCAGTCATGGCGCCTGCATCAGTGCTTCACCCCAATTTCCTGAAGATGCCATCCACGTGCCACCATCTACTTATCCAGCGACCCGCTGATGGACATCTGGGTTGTTGTCAACTGCCTCCTAAGAAGGCGGCAGCTCCAAGCCTTGGTGAGGATGTATGTCATTTCATTTCTCTTGCCCATGTGGGCAGCGGAAGGCATGTCACTGTGCCCACCAGGCAGAAGGTCTCTGAAGACCCTTTCAAAGCTGCTCACCTCTGACTTGATCCAGCAAACTCTTTTTATAGATGGAGGGACCACAGAGCTGAAGTAAGAGACAGAAGTGGGGATCCTGAGTCCCAACCCAGAACATTCTCCCCTGACCATGCCACCTCCTACCCGGGGCAGGGCACTTTCCTACAAGCTTACAATTAACCACTTTTCTGGGGCAGACAAATCTGATCCACATTTGCAGTTAGTCATGCCAGGCCACTATCTCGCTCCTATCCCAAGTCCCTGCGGCGGCACCCCCTACCCACACACACCTTCCTTCTGAAGAGCTCTCAGTGCATCTCAGATTTTTCCTAAATCACTTTGGAAGATAAAGTGAGGCTAGGATTAATTTCCTTCTTGGATAAGTCAGGCAGCAGGGGTGGGGGAGAAGAGGTAGGAGGGTTTCTCCAAATAGAAGCTCTGTGTTTCCATGTGGTCACCATACTTACCTGAATTACTTGAAGCCTGGAGGCCTATGCTATGAGGAAAATGCAATTTGTTGTGATTTCTACTTATTTTCATGTCAGCATTTGAAGTGTGAGTGTGTTTCAGGGAGAGTGGAACTTGAAGGATGGGAGGCGCTCTTGTGCTCAGATACACTAACTGTGAGCACTTAAGGAGAGAGGCTGTGGCAGCCTCTAAGGTGGTCTCAGTATGAGCTGTGCTGGAATCCAGGGCTAGAGCTACTGTCCCGCTGCTCAGCAGAGGAGGCAAACCCAGCACTGCTTGGGTGACTCTCATCCACTCTGCGCCATAGCTCACTCATAACCTTCCCCCTTCCTCCCTGGGTTAGTGACCCTTCCCTTTTCTTCCTCCTTCTCATATGGAGGTGAGCAGAGGGATTGTTTAACCCCTACTTAGTCTGGTAAGGAGAAGAGGGCGCGGGGTCGGGGCGGGGGAAACACCTGCTCACTCTTTATTCCAATTTAAGAACTTTATCAAACTAAAATATTTCTCTCCCAACCCAAACACCTGATTTTTGCGTCATGTTAAGGAGAATGGTCTCAGTATCAAGGTCAAATGGATTATCTTTTTCTATATCCAGCAGTTACTTAAAATGAGATGAAATTTTCATCTTCATATTTGGGCTGTAAATTTCCTGTCAGCTTTTGATTTCCCCAGAGTTTTCAATTGCCTTTCTTTTTCTTGTAGATACAGAATAATGTGCCTTCACTGTATCCTCAGAATTTTCAACTCTACTAATCACAATATTTACTGCAATTCTTCCTTTTATTCCTACAGACAATTACCTAGAAGTCTGTTTTTTATGCTCTGATCTGGTTCCACTGGTCTTCAGCCTGGCTGTCAATCTAGGACTTCCTTGTTCTCCTGGGATAGAGTCACTGTTTTCTAGATTCCACAGCTTCCTTTTTTTGTTTGTTTTTTTCTTCTTATTTAGCTGAACTACATCTTTGAATAGAGAGTACACAAGAGAGTACACAAGGGGAAAAGCTTTCTGAACCCTTTTACCCCTAAATGTTTTTTTATTCTGCTTTGTAAATTTAATTATAATTTAGCTGAGTATAAAGTTCTTGGTTCAGAGCTAAGAAGGCATAGGTGGAGTCCAGTGGAGAGTACTCTGGGGTGGGGCTCAGAACCTTTGAGGTCTGGTTCTAGTTCTGCCCCTGTGGTTCTCTCCATCTGTAACAGGAGGTGGCTGGATCAGATCACAGGTGACTGTCTTTCAGCTGGTCTTCAAAGACATTCTGCATGGCAGAATTCATCCACACAAAATGAAAATATATTTCCACAAAAAGACTTATATAAGAATGTCTGTAGTTGCTTTATTCATAATAGACTGAAGCTGGAAACAACCCAAATATCCATCAACAGGTGAATAGATAAAGAAATGATGATGCAATTCTTCTGTGTAGATGTGAATAATTTTCATTCACTCTGCTTTGTTCTTGGTAGATCCCTTAATATTTTTCAGATCAAGTGTGCAGGGAAAGTTAGGGTCCCATTGTGGGTTCAGGGCCTAGAGCTCACTGTGACCATCAGAAGGACCGTGAGAAACATGCAGGATGCCCCAGGCTGGTGGGGGATGCACTGAGGGAGTTAAGGTGCTGACATGAGGCCTGAAGGATGCTAGTGTCTCCACGGGGAAGTCCACACCAAGGTGGTCATCAGGCCTGGTCTGTGGCTATGAGGTTGCTGAGGGCCAGTCTACCCTGGGAACATGACTAGGGCAGGGCACCACCACCAGATGTCCCCACCCACGGGCCCTGCTGACAGTGCACAAATGGAGAAAGAAAAACCAAATGCATCCAAGAGAAGCCCCCTTCCTTCCACAATGGCTCTCCAGCGCCCTCTGCTGGCGAAAATGCTTGCAAAGGCCAATTCTTGATCACACAGCAGGTACTGAGGGACAAACTGGGCACTGAAAGGCCATAGATTGATAAGCATGTTTCCTGAAAACCTTTTATGCTTTGTCCGCCACTCTCTTGCTGTTCCTTTTTCGTAGCATTCTGCTCTCACTTTATAGATGCAACAACTTTAATTTTCCTATGGACACGTTCCATTTTTAAAAGTTCTTTTATTGTTGCTTCATCTGTGCTTTGTTTTTTGGTTTGAGTACCTTGTTTTTCTCCTTCAGACTGATGGTTGTCCTTATAAGTTTGAAGATCCTTACTGCTCATTCATATGCACTGAAAAAAGGACTATGTTGAATATTTCAGTTGCTGGGGCTTTCGGGGCTCTCCTGTTGTGGTGTAGTATATCTTCTTCACAACAGGTCTCTCCCCTGGGTAAGGAAGTCAGCTTGGAGACTCTGTCTGTGGGCAGGGGGTGTGAGCTGGGCGGGGGGGTCTTCACTTCAGGGTGATGGTCCTACTGATGGGAGCTCCCAAATAGCTCCCAAAGCTAACAGAGAGGGCTTTACATCATCACAGCAGGGCCCATTGGAGGCCCTCACTTTCCTTAGCTACTTCTTTGGTGTCTTTAACCAAAAAGTGGATTCTTTTCAGACCACTGTTACAAATGTATACATTTTATTTCCAAGATGAAGATGCAGCCCATTACACTTCTCAATTCTCCAGTCCCATCCTAGTCCCATCCTTCCTTTTGCTTGGGTGATCAGAGTCCAGAGTCTCTCAGGGGCTCTTACAAGCAAGTTATCCCTCACTCTTCACAATGAAAGCCTTTGAAGGACTGGCTTTATTCTGGGGTGAGCTCTCTCCACCTCGTTCCATACGTCACCCACCTTTGCATCCTCTTTCTGCCTTCTAAAAATATGTTTAAATAACTGATCTGCTGATGAATTCCAACACACACTCCATGCACTGTCAAGGGTTTATATTTTCTGCTCTCTGGCAAGTATTCACCATTCTGAGTTGGCAGCCTCTTCGTAAACTTTATATTCATCTCTCTTGAGTTAATAAAACAGCCTTGCAAACATGCCAAGATTTTACCAGCCCAACAATTTCAGGAGGAACGAGTGAACAAGAAAAGAAATCCTCAATACCTCTCACCAAAATGCCAAGTTTGGATTTTATTCCACTCACCGGATCTACCTACTCAAAGAAGAATCAAAGCCCAGGCAGACCTAGTTAGCAGTTGAGGTTGAAGGTCACGAGGTGGAAGGCTGGGACCGGGTGCAGTACAAAGGTAGGGGCACAGACCTCAGCCCCTTGGTTGGGGTGTGGACTGCTTACCCTGGAGTTTGGCAACCATCCCTGGTGGGCAGATGGGGTTGGTGACGCAGCGGGCACAGGAGTTTCTGGCTGATGTGGCACAGGTCATGCCAGGTCGGCACTCACAGACACGGTCGGCATTCCACATGCAGGGTGTCTTCTCCACGAGGTCTTCTGAGGGACACAGAGAAAAGTCAGGGGGTCCAGAGTGTCCCCAGGAGGGCAGAGAGGCATCTGTCCAGGGGCCATCCCACAAGAAAGCAAATGATGGGCCTCCCCTGGTGGCGCAGCGGTTGAGTGCTGGGTTATGAGGCTGCCCGCAGCCTCTGCAGTGCCAGTTCGATCCCTGGCCACCGGCGAGGGTCCCACAAAAAAAAAAAAAGAAAGAAAGCAAATGAGCAGTCCTTACGGCACACTCAAAACGATTATGCTGAATCAAAGAAGGGGGCACAACAGGAGAACAGAATTTCTATGAGTATGAATCCTAATATAGAAAATACTAGAAGATGCAAACGATGCCATAGTATAGAAAGCAGAAAAACTGCAAGGAATGGCAGAAGGGCTGAGGCATGGAAGAAGGGGTGACAAGGAGTATGAAGAAACGTTTTGGGGGTGATGGACAGTCCATCGTCTTGAAAGAGGTGATGGTTCCAATGGTGCACATTAAAACTTAACAAACCACATATCTTAAACCTGTGTGTCATGTCAAATGTCAATTCTATCTCAACAAAGCTCTTAGAAGAAAATACCCAGAGAAGCGGGGTGAGTGGGTCTGGGTGGAGATGAGCCAAGATGCCCACGACTTGATAATTTTTAAAAATGGGTGATAATCTGTAACCATTTCTGATTTTCTCTACTTCTGAATATATATGACACTTTTGATTCTAAAAGTTTTTTTCCCCAAAGAAAGTCTTATTTCAAAATCCAAATGTAAAACAAATGTTTTTAAGTTTCATAAAAGAAAAATGATATTTTGCATGCTCCATCTTGGGCGAAAATGGAGTTAGTGCATCCACGGATCAGACAAGAGTGACTGCTCGCTCAGGACATTTCTCAGCCGGCAGGGCACATGGATGCTCTGCCTGCTAAAGATAAGGGCCCACATGGTTTCTTCCTGCAACTTCAAGTGAGCACGACCTGAGGAGCATTCAGGGACTCTGCATGAGCGCAGGTGGGTGAGGTGATGTGGGACAACAGCTACACTCACTAGCGATAGAATATGCCTGGCAGCATATTCTATATTGTGAGCACGCTGCCGAGGTCAACTAGCTGACTTAATCCCCAAAACACCTCTCTGACATAGCACTGTGATTGTATCCATTTCCCAGATGAGGAAACAGAGGCACAGGATCGTATAGAAACTTGCTTGAGTATATGAACTCCCAAGTGCTAGAGCCAAGATTTGAAGCCAGGCACATGGGCTCCAAGTCCACGCTGCAAGTCACCATGTATTCGGGGCAGGTTCTCACCTGCCTTCAACCTGGAGTGGAAGCTCTCTTGGGATAGAGCCATCTCTGCATATGACTGTATTTCTCCCCCAAATGCCACAGCCGTATTTCTGATCCCATCTGTTTCTCCAGACCCTGCCCATCAATAGAAGGACCATTTGTTTCCTCCCTTTGACTGAAGTGGGATTTGGGACAACACTGACAGGCAGAAAGTGCTGGAAGTTATGCTGTGTGGCTTACAAGGCTGGGTCATAAAAAGGGATGTGGCTTCTCTTGGTTGCCCTGGCCCTGGAAGCCAGTCACCAGCTAGAGGAAGCCCAAAGCAAGGCACACAGAGGCCAGCATGGAGTGGAGCCCCCCCACCCCTAGATCATGAGGGAATGTCTTTCAGACAACTCCAGCCACTGGCCTCTGCATTTTCCAGCTGAGACCCTGATATCACCCAATAAGTGCTTGTCCGGAGCAGGTGCTTAGTGGTAGCACAAAGGAGAGCACAGAGCCCAGAACCTGGTGGCAGACCCCAGCATCGAACTCCAGTCCTGCTACCCCCAAGTGCCAGCTTCCCAAAGCCTCCATTGCTGTAAAATGGGCATTGAAGGACAGTTTTTAAAAGGTTATTCATGGACAAGGAGGTTATTATTCATGAGACAAGGAGGTTATTCATGGTATTTTTCTTGCAGGAAAGTGGGAGAAGGTGAAAATGCTCAGAAAGGAGGTCACCAATATCTGCACCCACACTCCTGGTGACCATCACCAGAAGCTGAGTGCTCAGAACCCCACAGAGGTGAATGGGGCTCCTGAGAGCTGAGCCAAGACCAAACAAGGGCTCCCCCAGCCCCAAGTCCCCTCTGAGATGCCTCTGCTCCTGGAAGGAGGCCCTGGAGGGTAGACAAGGTCCTCACCTCTCTTACAGGTCACACAGGCCATGCAGAGGCCACTCCGGTCCAGGTAGTAGTCGGGGTCACACTGCTTCCTGCAGTCAGGGGACCCCGGCGGGCACGGCTGCTGGAGGGACAGCCCTGCGGAAGAAGCAAAGAGGTTGCAGACTGGACCACCTGGCAAAGGCCTTCTCTCCTCTAATCCCTGACACCCCCAACTCTGCAATCAGATCTGTCCTGCTTCTAAGGAGGTATCCTGAGGCTCAGAGAGGGGAGGAATGTGTCTAAGGCCACACAGGAGAGAAGCACAGTCTCCTAACTGCCCCCACCCACGTCTGCTCCCTTCTTAGACCACTGTTTCCACTCTGCCCGGGCCCCTCGCTGTCTCACTGTTCACTGGGGTTAAGTCTCAGCACTATAACGCTATCACCACTATGGCCTGCGTTCGATCCCCAACCAGGGAGCTACCCACATGGCAAGGCAGACCTCTCCTGTCTCCCTGCTGCTCCTCTCAGCAGTGTATTTCAGTAGATCCGCCTGTTCTGCTCCCCACTCTGTCTCTGGTGAATCCTCTCACTCCCCCCCAACACCTCTGGCCTGAACCCCAGTTCTTCTACACAAAAATAAATTAAAATTGAAAAAAAGGGCCTTCCCTGGTGGTGCAGCAGTTGAGCACTGGGCTGCAAAGCTGCTCGCAGCCTCTGAAGCGCCAGTTCGATTCCTGGCCGCCAGCGAGGGTCCACATGGCACACAGACCTCTCCTGCCTCACCCGCTGCTCCCCTCAGCAGTGTATTTGGTCGGTCTGCCTGTTCTGCTCTTTGCTCTGGCTCTGGTGAATCCTCTCACCCTCCCGCACTTCTGACTGTACCCAGTACTTGTATAAATAAATAAATAAATAAATAAATCTTTTTAAAAAATCTTAAAAATAAAAATTAAATTAAATAAAAAATAAAATTGAAAAAATAAAAAGCAGTGGGCTACTGAGCACTGAAAAGAAAAACTCAGAGGCCCCATCTGTCTCCAGGAGACTCTCCGCCGCAGAGGCTCACCCGTTCTGTCCAGCAGGGGGCGCATGGCAGCAGCTGCCCCAGGGGACTGGCACAGTGGAGCCAGCCCAGAGCTGGAGTAACTGAGCCCTTCTCCAGCCTCCCGGGCCCAAGGTCTCAGCCCCATATCAGACCTCGAGACCCTCTCCCCTGCAAACTGGGGGAGAGCACAGCTCAGTGCCGCCCAGCCATCAGACACGGGAGCCCCGGAGACAACCCACAGCTTCCCTGGAGAAATTACCTGAATCTGGACTGGGTTTCCCCTCAGAGGAGAGAGAGTTGGGAGTCATTTTAAAAATATCTTCTGGGGCCAGGGAGGTGCGCCCTCCGAGAAGCATGGTCCTGGCCTCAGAGCTGGCCGGGGAGATCAGGGAGGGCTCGGCCAGGGCGGTGGTGCTGCAGAGAAGGAAGCCAGAGATGAGGCTAACAATTCTGACGGGCCAGGGAGGTCTGCACATGAGGCAAACCATCTCCATAGTGAAGGGGCCCCACACCCTCTCCCACAGCCTCCGGGATGCCATGGTCAGCTCCTGTGTCTCCAGTGTGCTCAGGACAGGCTGGGGTTGGGGGGATGGCTCAAATGATGTGGGCTTGGCAGAGAGGTGCCCTGGAGTCCTGACATCCTGGGCTGAATGAAGCACACTGGCCCGCCCAGCCCAGCTGTGCCCTAGGCATCAGGTGCAGTGGTACAGCCCCATGTTGAGGTCAGCTGGATGGGAGAGGCCGGGAGTCACCTGGCAGGTGCCCTGCAGTCCTCTGAGCTGGCGCTGCACTTGGAGCTGGTCCTTGGGGAAGGCTTCTCACAGACAGTGTCCTTCTGAGCTGTACCTGCAGGGAGGTGGGAGATGGCAAGTCTTCAGACTTGGTATTGAAGAGCCCCACGTTTCTAGATAGACTTCTCACCAGAGAAGGGATAGGGGCTGGAACTAACCACCCCCTCCCTTCCAGGAGAAGCTATGGGACCAGGCTGAACCAATCAATCCATTCCACTCCTCTGGCCATGATAGTTAGACATGCCTAAGAGATGCAATTTCAAAGTTTTGTTTTGGTTTGGTTGTTGAAAATGTAGATAGGAGAGCTGTCTTTGCCTGGAGCTGCTGGTAGGTATCTTACAGACAACCCATGTGTGTGGGAAGTAGAGATGAGAGATGGGAAAGAGCTCCTGGATCCAGCCATGCCTGAAGCTGCTTGGAGCAATCCTCCAATTATACTGTTCCATGAGCCCCCCAAATTGGGATTTTGTTACTTGCAACCCAAAGAGTTCTGAAGAGTACTGGGTGGAAGCAGAGTAGAGATGAAAATACAAAGTACTTTCCATCACATGGACCTGGGTTTATCTGCTGTCTCTGTCACACCCCATTGGCTTACCTGTGCCAGGTAAGTTGAATGATTATAACATACTTCCCGAAGGCTGTGGTCAAGATAAACAGAGTGGGCCTAATGTGCCTACCACACTCTGTGACATATAGTAGGTGCTCAAACAGCACCTGTCTCTTCGCTTAGAAAGTAACCCACATGTGCAGGATTGGGGTCTGAAGGTTTCGGTGGAGGGTCAGACATGGCTAACTTATCTTGTCTGTGAGCAGTGTGATGGGGTGATAACAGCTGGCTCAAATAGTCTCTGCTCTGACATTTACCTGTCATCCCTGGACCTTGATTTCCCGGCTTGTAAAATGGAGTTACCATATTAATAGTTAGCTGTATGGAGCTTCAAGAATTTCTGGAAAGAAAGCCCACGTGGGTTTATCCTGGGGCTGAATCCGAAACCAAAACTGCTTTCCCTGTTTGAGCTGGGGACTGAGGCCCATGAGCTGCCCCATGGGGAGGGCCACCGGGGAACCTAGAAGTCCGTCAGGGTTGACAGCCCAAAGTGGGCGCACTTCCAAACAGACACTGGCCAGTAGGAACAGTGGGAATCACTCATGATATTATTTTGGTCTTAATTTAATCATTTAATGATATTTTTAATTTATTGTAAAAAGTGAAAGGAAGTGAAAAATTAATTTAAGTAACATTTTTACAATTTGAGGTCCACAGGTACTCAATATAAAACAATTCATGAGATGGGCCTCCCCTGGTGGCGCAGCGGTTGAGCGCTGGGCTGCGAAGCTGCCCGCAGCCTCTGCAGCACCGGTTCGATCCCCGGCCACTGGCAAGGATCCCACATGGCACGACAGACTTCTCCTGCTGCGCCCGCTGCTCCCCTCAGCAGTGTATTTCATCACTCTGCCTGTTCTGTTCCCTGCTCTGGCTCTGGTGAATTCTTTCACTCTCCCATGCTTCTGACTGTACCCAGTGCTTGTATGAATAAATAAATCTTTAAAAAAAAAAAAAAAAAGAATGTCAATACTTTAAAAAAAAAAAAAAAAATAAAACAATTCATGAGATGTCTTTTTTTTTTTTTTTTTTTTTTTTTTATTTTTATAGAGGCATGCTTTATTTATTTGTTTGCTGGTTTGTTTGTTTGTTTTGTTTATACATGCACTGGGTACAGTCAGAAGCGCGGGAGGGCGAGAGAATTCACCAGAGCCAGAGCGGGGAGCAGAGCAGGCAGAAGGACCGAAGTACACTGCTGAGGGGAGCAGCGGGCGGCAGGAGAGGTCTGCGCGCCATGTGGGACCCTCCTCTGGTGGCCGGGGAGCAGCCGGGGATCGAACCGGCGCCGCAGAGGCCGCGCGCAGCTTCGCAACCCAGCGCTCAACCGCTGCGCCACCGGGGAGGCCCTCATGAGATGTCTTACAATCTTTTTTTCTTTGTCTTTGAAGTCCAGCGGCTATTATGTACTGACAGTGCATCTCAGTGCAGCTGGCCAGTTGAAGACCTGGGTTTATCTGCTGTCTTTGTCACACCCTGTTGACTTACCTGTGCCAGGTAAGTTGAATGATTATAATATACTTCTCAAAGGCTGTGGTCACGATAAACAGAGTGGGCCTAATGTGCCTACCACACTGTGGCGCACTGTGGCCCTACCACGTGTGGCCCCAGGTACCACCCTAAGGGATCAATGTTTCCTGCCATGGGCAGCAAACCCCTCTCTGGCGCCACCGTGTGCCACATGAGGAACACATCTCGAGAGCCTTGCAGGGGAGCCGGTCCGCAGGTGAAGACTGAATTTCACTGCCATCTTCCACAGACCTAAGAGTTCCTGCGCTGGAAAAGGCTCCAAAAGCTAGACACCCCCTCCCTTGCATTTTACATATGGGGAAACTGCGGCCCAGGGAGGGGCAGGACCATCTCAGATGCAAAATTGTACAAAGTCCCAACAAGCCTGAAATCAGGTAAGACCTCCTCAGCCAGACTTGTATCGCGGGCCTGGAGGGTCTCTCTGAGCCCGGAGACAAGGTATGGAAGGGCCAGGAGGGCCTCTGGGTGCCTAGAGACATGACTGTCCAGCAGGAAGGAGGACATGGGCAATTAAGGCCATGTGGAAATTACCGTGAGGTGGTGCAAATCGCATGGGTTGTGGTCCTGGGCAGAGGGTGGGGGTGCTTACCCTGGAATTTGACAACCATCCCTGGCGGGCAGACGGAGTGGGGGAGGCAGCGGGCACAGGTGTTGCTGACTGACGTGGCACAGAACATGCCAGGCCGGCATTCACAGACACGGGCGGAGTTCCCCGAGCATGGCTTTTTCTCCACAAGATCTGCCAAGGGACACAGAAGGGTCACAGAGGACAGTGGGACAGGGAGGGGAGGGATCTGAGAATCCTGGGGGCATCCAGCTTGTGAGAGAAGATACTGCTGTGCCCTCTGCTGGGTAGCACAGATGGCACACATGGTCCTTCTTCCCAAAGCACACTTGAGAGGAGTGCAAGAGGCAGCCGCCCAGCCCATATTCTGGTGAGCACTAAAATGGTATTAAAAAGAAATTAATGCCCCAATTTAAAAAAAGGGCAAAAAGAAGAAATCCTCACTGGTGGCGCAAGGAGTTAAGACTCAGCACTATGAAGCTATCAGCAGCCACTGCAGCACAAATCTGATCCCTGGGCAGGGAGCTACCCACATGGTGCAGCAGACCTCTCCTGTCTTGCCCGCTGCTCCCCTCAGCAGTGTATTTCAGTCAATCTGCCTGTTCTGCTTCCCAATCTGTCTCTGGTGAATCCTCTCACACCAGCACCTCTGGCCTGTACCCCAGTTATTTTATGCATAAATAAATAAAATAAATAATGAGATGCCGTCTCACAGCCGCTAGGATGGATAGGATGAAAAAACAGGTAATAATAAGTGTTGGCGAGGATGTGGAGAAATTGGAGCTCTTATATATACTTCCTGTAGGAATGTCATCCAGTGCTGCACTCGGCAATCAGTACGGCAATTCCTCAAAAAACTGAACAGAATTGCCACAGGATTCAGCAACCACACTCCTAGGTATACATCCAAAAGATCTGAAAACATATGTCCACACCAAAAACTGAACACAAATGATCATATCCAATAATCAAAAAGTGGGAAAATCCAAATATCTACCAACAAATGAATAGATCTACAAAATGGAGTAAACCCAGGCCTCCCTGGTGGCGCAAGGGGTTAAGCACCACACTATGAAGCAATCCACAGCCTCTGCAATACAAGTTCGATCCCCAGCTGGCCAGGGAGCAACCCACATGGCGCAGCAGACCTCTCCTGTCTCCCCACTGCTCCCCTCAGCAGTGTATTTCAGTCAATCTGCCTGTTCCATTCCCCATTCTGTCTCTGGTGAATCCTCTCACCCCCTGCATCTCTGGCCTGTACCCCAGCTCTTGTATGCATAAATAAATAAATCTTTTCAAAAAATGTAGTAAACCCATATAATACAATGGCATTCAGCCACAAAGAGGAAAGAAGGCCCCGTCACATTAAATGATGTTTATCAGCACTTATCAGAAAATGCAAATCAAAATCACCTGGTATCACCTTCACACCTGTTAGAATGGCCTGTTATCAAAGACAAAAGAAACAAGAGTTGGCAGGGAGTAGATCCCACACAGTGCGCAGACCTCTCCTGCCACGCCTGCTGCTCCCCTCAGCAGTGTATTTCGTCAGTCTTCCTGTTCTGCTCCCCGCTCTGTCTCTGGTGAATTCAAAAATAGAAATACCATACAAGGCCTGCCTGATGGCCTAGGTATTAAGTCGCAGTGCAAGCACCTCTATGGCCTGAGTTCAATCCCCATTCAGAGATCTGACCCACATGGCGCAGTAGACCTCTCCTGCCTCACCCTCTGCTCCCCTCAGCAGTGTATTTCAGTCAATCCACCTGTTCTGCTCCCCACTCTGTCTCTGGTGAATCTTCCCACCCCCCTGCACCTTTGGCTTGCACTCCAGTTATTCTATGCAAAAATAAATAAATAAAATGTTACAAAAGAAAAGACATACCATACAATCCAGCCACTCCACTTCTAGGTATTGACCCAAAGAATATGAAAACACTCATTTGAAAAGATACACACATCTCTATGTTCATTGCAACATTATTTACAAAAGCCAAGATAAGCAACTTTCCTACTGAGAAATTAGTGGGATAAAGAGGATGTGGAGGTTAAACTATTAAAGTGTCTCAGATCCTAGAACACAGACCTGGCAAAATGTTATCTATTTTCCCTTCCAGGTTTGCTTTCACAGGTCCAGGCTGATCTACAAATGATAGAGCCTGAACATGTGCAGAAGCCATGACCTTGAGCTCAGTCCCAGGTGGCTGGAGCAGAAGACACAAATACAGTGGCAGGAGGGCTACCCAGGGGCCTAGCAACAGAAGTTCAAAACTCTCATTCTCTGAAGAAAAACTCGTTGGGGCCTCCCTGGTGGCACAGCGGTTAGACAGCACTATCAAGCTATCGCCAGCCACTGCAGCATGAGTTCGATCTCCATCCGGCCAGGGAGCTACCCACATGGCGCAGCAGACCTCTCCTGCCTTGCCTGCTGCTCCCCTCAGCAGTGCATTTAAGTGGATCCTCCTGTTCTGCTCCCCACTCTGTTTCTGGTGTATCCTCTCACCCCCTGTACCTCTGGCTTACACCCCAGTTCTTGTATGCATAAATAAATCAATCTTTTTTTTTTTTTTACCTTTTCTTACTTTATTAAATCTTACTAGTATTCTTTAAGGGACAAACACATGTAAGTAGGTTACAGTTAAGAAATCTTATTTTTATGAATTAAGAAGCCACTAAGTTACTTCTGTTTTATTTGCAGTGATTTTCTTTATTCTGGGACTCCAGGTAATATTCAGCTCCCACAGCTACCACAAATGCAGCAAATCCCCATTTGAATCCTTTTAATAATGCACCAGCAAAGGAAACATTGTTTGCAAAGCCACCCATGAATCTCCAAGGTTCATTGCCGCCCCATGGATCCCTTAGCCCTTGTGCAGCCAGCTTCTCCTGGACAGTTTCTAAAGGTGTTCCTTCTATCTTCCATTGTTTATAGTCTGGAAGTTCCATTTTACCATGGCCATGTCCATGGCCATGTTCATGTCCATGGGCCATGTCTGACGGCAATCTGACCTCTCAGGACATTCATAAATAAATAAATCTTGAGGAAAGAAAGAAAGAAAGAAAAAGTTCTTTATACTTATCCATGTGTGAACTAGCCAATGAACTTCACTCAAGTCCACAGATCCAGGCCAGCTCCTCAGAGTCTCAGATATAATGTGAAGATCTGAAAATCACTGAAGTTCACAGAGAACCAGCACTAAGAGTACCAAGCTCAGAAAGAATGCTCCAGAAAGCAGATACAAATAAGAACAAGTCTTTAGAGTCTGTAATATATCCCAGAGATACAAAAGAAAATTGCAGGTAGAAATGAATGCCCTGGAACATAATGCTATGTGTTTACCAGCTCCTGTTCACATGAGCTAGGAGAAAGACTATTACCCAGCATCTCCAACAGTTGGTTTGGGGTCAGGTGACCAAGTTTTGCCTAATGGGATGTGGACGGCAGTGATAATAAACCTCTTCCAGGCTTGACCTTTAAAAACAGGAGCACGACATCTATTTCTGGCTGTGCTCTGCCTCCCACTAGGCCCTCAGGCTCCCCAGAGGTCTTTCAAATACAAAATCAATCTCAAAAGTTAACATTCAAGATTCATAAAAAAAAATAAACATAGTATTACCACACATGATCCAGCAATTCCACTTCTGGGTATAAGCCCAAAAGAATTGAAAGCAGAGACTCACCAGATAGTTGCATAACCACATTCACAGCAGAATTATTCCCAAGAGCCAGAAAGTGGAAGTAAGTGGGCACCCAAATGTCCATTATAAATGGACATAAATAGATACAACATATGCTAGAGCCGTCCAACGGAAGATTATTCAGGAAGGAAACACATGCTTACAATGTGGATGCATGTTGAAGACGAAATAAGCCAGTTACAAAAGAATAAATATTGTCTCACTTTACTTATGTGAACTTCATAGAGACAGAGAACCAGATTCATAGAGAGAGAGAATGGTAATTGCCAAAGGCTGGGAGTGGGGTTGGGGAAATAAGGAGATAGTTTTAAGGGGACAAAATTTTAGTTGGGGAAGCCAAAAAGTTCTAGAACTGGATGATGGTGATGGTTGCTCAAAAATATGACTGGGGGCCTCCCTGGAGGCACAGCAGGTTGAGCCCAGCGCTGTGAGGCTGTCCTCAGCCTCTGCAGTGCAGGTTCGATTCCTGGCCGGCCAGGGAGAGTCCCACATGGCGTGGCAGACCTCTCCTGTCTCACCCGGACTCCCCTCAGCACTATTTTCTGGTCGTCTGCCTGTTCTGCTCCCCGCTCTGTCTCTGGTGAATCCTCTCACCCTCTGGCCTGTACCCCAGCTCTTGTATAAAAATAAATAAATCTTTAAAAACAAAACAAAACAAATATATGACTGTGCTTAATGCCAATGAACAGTGCACTTAAAAATAGCTAAGATGAAAGATTTTATGTTACGGATATTTTGCCTTGTTTTTTAAAAAGTAACAGTTCCTAGCTGAAGCCTTACCTGGGAAGATAACTTAGAGCCCACTGAGGTGGGATGGGTGTATAGGAAAAGTCACCCATATTGTATCAGGGCAAAAAGAAGTCAGGGACAGAGCTGCTTCCCTTGCTAAGCTTGAGCAAGAAGTAAAGATAGGCCACAGTAATTCTGCAAACACACTGTAGAGAAAAGAAAGAAGGGAGGAAGGAAGTAGGAGAAGAAAAAGAAACAGAAAGATCAACATTGATAAGAATACATTTGCAAAGACAATAAACCTAGTCTGAAACAGGGCCTCCCTGGCGGTGCAAAGGGTTAAGATGCAGCACTATGAAGTTATCCACAGCCTCTGCAGCACCAGTTTGATCCCCGGCCCACCAGGGAGCTGACCCCCATGGCGCAGCAGACCTCTCCTGTCTCCCCGCTGCTCCCCTCAGCAGTGTATTTCAGTAGATCTGCCTGTTCTGCTCCCCACTCTGTTTCTGGTGAATCCTCTCACTCCTGCACCTCTGGCCTGTACCCCAGCTCTTGTATGCATAAATAAATAAATCTTTAAAAAAAATAAAAAATAAACCTAGTCTGAAACAAATACAAGCAACTTCAGAAGTGCTTCACACTATGAAGGGACTTAATAAGAACATCAATTTGAAGAACTCAGAGAAAAGATGACTTATTTAT